TTTAAACTGTGAGGTTAAACAACATTTATATAGTTAAACACTATTTATATAGTTTAAACTGTGTGGTTAAACAATATTTATATATTTTAAACAATATTTATATAGTTTAAATGTTAAACTGGGAGCTTAAACAATATTTATATAGTTTAAACTGTGAGGTTAAACAATATTTACATAGTTAAACAATATTTATATAGTTTAAACTGTGAGGTTAAACAATATTTGTATAGTTTAAACAATATTTATATAGTTTAAACAATATTTATATAGGTTAAACAATATTTATATAGCTTAAACAATATTTATATAGCTTAAACAATATTTATATAGTTTAAACTTTGAGGTAAAACAATATTTATATAGTTAAACAATATTTATATAGTTTAAACTGTGTGGTTAAACAATATTTATATAGTTAAACAATATTTATATAGTTTAAACTGGGAGGTTAAACAATATTTATATAGTTAAACACAATATTTATATAGTTTAAACTGTGTGGTTAAACAATATTTATATAGTTAAACACTATTTATATAGTTTAAACTGGGAGGTTAAACAATATTCATATAATTTAAACTGTGAGGTTAAACAATATTTATATAGTTTAAACAATATTTACATAGTTAAACACTATTTATATAATTTAAACTGTGAGGTTAAACAATATTTATATAGTTAAACATATTTATATAATTTAAACTGGGAGGTTAAACAATATTCATATAATTTAAACTGTGAGGTTAAACAATATTTATATAGTTAAACAATATTTATATAATTTAAACTGGGTGGTTAAACAATATTTATATAGTTAAACAATATTTATATAGTTTAAACTGGGAGGTTAAACAATATTTATATAGTTTAAACTGGGAGGTTAAACAATATTTATATAGTTAAACAATATTTATATAGTTTAAACAATATTTATACAGTTTAAACAATATTTATATAGTTTAAACAATATTTATATAGTTTAAACAATATTTATATAGTTCAAACGATAATTATATAATTTCAACTGTGAGGTTAATCCACTTGTAAGGACACAGATCAGGGACCTCAAGTGAAACTCACCTGCCTCCTCAGCAGAGTATAACTCTCTCCAGTACGTCCTGTGTTTGTAGTCATCTTTAGGAGCGTACAGGTACGTGTTCAATCCCCACTTCTGCTCCCTGAGAAACAAATATTATGTCAGAGATTAATGTTTCCATCAAGAGAGATTTAATCTGCACAAAGAGAAAAATCATTAGGTTCACATCACTCCTGTCTCCATTTTCAGTCAAACTTGTGTTTGTTTCATATGATACAGATTTTCTTTGCATTTCACTTCCAATGTGTTACATCTGCTCATAGTGTTAAATACTGTTTCATGTAGTTCAAACTGTTTATTGTTGTTTGGTATTTTAAATAAATTATTTTAGTAAGTGGCTGCTTGTGATAAAGTGTTTAAAGAGTTTAATTATATCTTGTGCAGATCCAACACTGGGTTATCCTGAGTGTTAATGAGCCTTTTTATACCTGAATGATGCTCAGGTCAGAGTTTAGTGGCTCAACACAGAAATACTACTGAAAGTCAGACAGTAAATCTGACAGTCCTCACATCTTAAATCTGTACAGTCTTCCTCCTTGGAGACCAAATATAAAGAGTTTTACACAACACTGTAGTTTTTATTTAAAACTTATCCTATATTTGTTGCTGCTGCAGTATTTTATTGTTTTAGGACAAACCTTTGAAACAGCTCAGTTCTTTGTTCCATGGTCCATGGTCGCCCATAAAAACCTGCATCAAAATGAACAAACTTGAGTAAAATCCTTTATAACTTCACTGAGTTTATGAGCACAGATTCAGGAGGCTGCAGGACCACCGGTCTGAGCTGTGGTGGTGGTCCTTTCATAACCGGTCTCCTCACCTTCCACCACTCCGCTAATGAAGCGTCGAGTCCCCCGGCTGGACTGTCCCTCGGTCCGGTTCGATGTCGACATGTTTTTACTGAGAAATGAAGCGCTCTCGGTTCTTAATGACAGAAACCTGCCCAGGAGTGACTCTGTTACATTATATAGCAGCTTGTTCTTCCACGCATGCGCAGATAGGTCTTTAAACAAAGACTAAATGAACCGTATCTGTAGTCTAAAGTCTGAAGCTGTAAAACAGTTAATTTATATGACATGAGTCGTGCAAACTTTCGGAATGGTTGTTGTTATTCTTCTGTTTGTATTTCCTCTTTCTTCTCACACAGCTTCTGCCCTGCGCTGTCACTGCAGCGCCCCCTGGCGACAACACAAATAACAGCAACAGAAGTTAAACATTTGATTGTAAAACAAGAAGTTAATTGTTTCAAATTTAGAAAAAGTTCAAAAGTAATTAGTCCTGGAACCAAAGTTTATTCTGAGAAGTACTCTGAAGGATGTCTTCTTAATGAAATTATGTCTATAATTTGACTCCATCTTTTGAAAATCAGCAGCTGTTTTTGATCAAAACTAAATTACATCTTGTCAGAAGCAGCAGGCTTTAACTAATGATCAAATCTTGACTTATAGCTTATAGACTATATGCCTATAAATGTTCTTGTCATATATTTATTGTGCATTGATTGATGGAGATTCACGTCAGATTCACCAGTCAGACACAGGGTTCTGATTATCAGTGTTGTAGGCTATAAAGTACCTCAAAGTGACACTTGAGTAAAAGTACAAGTATCTTATCATAAAAGTACTTTGGTAAAAGTTAAAATCTTCTCTAAAAATATTACTTGAGTAAAAATCTTAAGGTATCTGATATTTTTTGTGCTTAAGTATCAAAAGTAAATTTCTGACACAAGATCTACTTAAGTATTAAAAGTAATAGTACTGAGTAAAAGTGAGCAGTTAGATTTTACAAAGTGACATTTATTGGGAGGTGACTTCTCCAAAAAACATATTTTCTAACGTCATGCAGCTGTGATGGGTTGTGTACAAG